TTTGTTTTTTAAAACTTTTTAAAATGTAGTCAATATATAATTTAACATATTGATAAATAATATATTGATTTGCTTCAAGTGATGTTAATTAATAAGTTTCCTCTTCAGAGATAACTGCGTGGTCATGTTTCATGGACCTTGGTTGTTAAACTAATGTGCCGGGGGGCGGGGCCAGAACGGTTGCATGTAGACTAAGCTCTGTATGGAAACTTAAGTTATATGTTAAAAACGACTACATACCATGCAAAAATCAGCAATCTACAAGCTGGATGTATCCTGCACATGATTCTACCTTTCTGTGAAGCTATTTCATCGCACGCAGGGCAGTCTGAACTTGAAGTGGCTTTGGGCCTACCATTGGGTGTGGGAGAGGCGGACGATCTCCCTGCTGGCCATCCCGCTGGCGCCCGTGGACATAGGGATTCCTATTCCCCCCACCTCCTGCTGGTGGTGGCTATCCTGGCACCAGCACTTAAACTCTGCCTACCAGTCCCTGGAGGTACTTTCGCCCAGCACCTGCTCTTGCCACACGACCTAAGTCCCATCACTGGAGCTAAGATGGCGGATGCATTATCTTATGCCACACCAGGAGGCCTAATTGAGCCTGTTTTAACACCCCTAGATTAAATATTCAATGAATTCTGACTGAGAATAAGTCGTCAACAAAATAGGATGGCAGTAAAGACAGGTTGAAAACCCGCTGCACCACCTGGGGCTACGAGCTCCACTCCTGGCTCTACACAGTGGATCACATCTGCACTCAAGCGCAGGATGCCCCGGAGGAGAAACTCCCAACCACCTGATTCAAGGCTTCATCGGAAGGGGTCTAGTGCCCGTTGCTGCATCCCAGGGCTAGGGGTCCTGAGTGGGATAACCCTGGTGCATGTCCCACACCCCTGGAGGGGCTATATACATCACCTTCCAGGTCGTCGCTTACGTAGCCTGGAGTGTCCGGAGCAGTGAGAGTCACATATTGGCTCTTATGGAGGCCTGGGGCCAATGGCATGGCCAACAGAAGACTGCTGGGAATCTGTCTCAATACGGGACCCTTGTGGCAAGTGTGGGTGTGGGGTGAAGCCCATAACGAAACCCTGATGCAAGGGCTGCACAATTTTTTTTTTTCAGTTTTGGTTCATGTTTTAATTCTTTTGATGTGCACCCTATAGTGTGTCCTAGCTGGGGCAAGGGCTAAGGAAAGGGACAGGGCTGAGGAAGGGGATAGGGCTGAGCAAGGGGACTGGGGCTGAGGAAGGATGGCAGGGGCTGAGGGAGGGGGACAGGGTTAAGCAAAGGGGACAGGGGCTGAGGAAAGGTGACAGTGGCTGGGGAAAGCGCTAGGGCTGAGGAAAGGGACAGGGAGACAGGGCTGAGCAAGGGGACAGGGGCTAAGGAAGAGGACTCTCTCTCTGAGTCTGATTTCAATGGATTTCAATGAGGATGACAGAGGATATCAGTTCCTCGAGATCTTTAGGTGATTCTCTGGCAGCAATCTCATCCTTTATAGCATCGGAGAGCCCATGTGAAAAGGCAGCCACGAGAGTCTTGTTGTTCCAGCCACATTCTGCTGCCAGGGTACGGAATTCACTGGCATGCCCGACAATTGATCTTGTGCACTGTGCATTATACATGAGTTGTTTGGCAGCAGAGGTTGAGTGAGCTGGAATATCAAAAACCCTTTTAAAGGACGCCGCAAATTCAGGGTAATTGTAAATAATGGGTCTCTCTGCCTTCCAGAGAGCATTTGCCGAAAACTAGGACTTTATCACACAGCAAAGAAATAATGAACCCAACTTTGCTTCTGTCTGTTGGAAATGTCTGGGGAACCATTTCAAGGTATCCTCTAACCTCATTTAAAATTCCTCTGCATTGAGCTTGGTTGCCCCCAAAATGCTGAGGGAGTGTGACAGACCCAGTTATTCCTCTAGCCACAACAGGTTAGGAGGCTACAACCGGTGCTAGAACAGGAAGTAAGGCAGAAGCGGCTGCAATCAAAGGCTGAACAGGTGCTGGATCCAGATGTGCAGTACGCATCAGGAGGATCAGCAGTGCATGTGCACACTGTTTCAAACGGTGGTCCTGCTAGTCCAACCAAGTAAATAGGTTGGGTATAGGTGGATTGGCCCTATGGCCCCTGGGTAATGTTAGGGACCAGGAACCAGAAAGAGACAGAATGTAGATGTAAAACACCTTTATTAATAAATAATAAATAGCAACAAATTAATTAAACCAAAAGCGAAGTCCAGGAGGCAAGCAGGGATCAAGCACCAGAGCAGGTAGTCAGACGAGCCGAAATCAGGAGAACAGAGAGCAGCAAAGTCAGGAACAAGGCCCGAAGTCAGGAACCAGGAATACACAGGAAACAGGAAGTCTTCTGGGAAACAGGAAACCACACAAGGACAAGGAGGTACTGGAACTTGCTGCTTAAGTAGGCTGCATTGATTAGCATAAGGGCTGGCTACTAACAACCAGGTGAGTAACCGTGGAAACGATAATAAAGGAGCTGATCGTTAAAAAGCAGCTGAATAGCTCAGACACAGAGAGAGGAAGGGTTGCTGTTTAAAACAGCAGAGAAATCCTGCCAATATCAGACTGATCCCACCCATGAGGGCAGTCCAGAACTGAAATGCAAAGAGACAACAACCCCGGATGATTGTTTTCTCCTTCTTTAGGCCTCAGGTGTAGATGATACCCCACTTTGTACAGTGAGCACAGGGTCCACTTCTGAATAAACATTTTAACATGTCGTATCTTACTTTTTGTAAATCTCACTTTCTTTATTTTTATGGTACACACTAGCAGACATAGTGTACTAAATCCTGTATAAATGGTCTAAAAGGTAGGGAAGGAAAATGTGTACAACCTCCATCACAAATCTCTCATACGGTGCTTGTAACAGAGCTAAGCACCCAGCTTGAGTGTCTAAGTCAAGGGTCCCTCTCGTTGAACCCTGGATACGTGGAGTGATTATAGCTGTCTCACCCAAAAACTAGCTGAGACTTAGTAAAGGGTGAATGTGAACTGATTTTATCAGGAACAAGTAACACGTTTACACACATGAGCCCAACAGGGTGTGCATGGTTAGAACCATGAAAGTCCTACCCTGATGCCTCTGAGTATAGGAGATAACTAGATCAATAACTGCCAAGTTAATTATGTCCCAGACATCTGTGTGTCATCACAATAGATCCCCAAAAATATATAAAAAATATAGATAACCTCCACAAGTCTTATGTCCCCAGATAGCACTGTCTCTCCACCTCCTTTTGTCAAAAGAGCACTCTTGACGCACCCACAGTGTTAAGTCACCAATCGGTTAAAGTTTTAGTTCCGACCAGAGGAACAGCTAGGAGCATCACTGATTTTCCACAGAAGCTCGGTCACCGGGTGTGGTCGGGAATGGCTCTGATTGGTGCAAGGTAGGGGAAAGGTCAGGGTGTGTGAAAACAGCTCTAAAGGGATAAAAATATATCTTTAAATTGGCAGAACTCCGGTTCTGTCAGAGTGCTCTGGTGTGTTGATGATGGTAAATAGCTGGAATATTATATTATATTTTAAAGTTCTAACATAACTGCCCACATGGAAAAACTGAAAACATGGGAAAGCACACAACAACAGAAATTTGTCACAATATATGTAGCTCTGAGCCCTAACACCACTAAATTAAAGGATGGAGACACATATATGAAACAGCTACAGAACTATGTATGTCCAAAGAGGAGGATACTTCAAGAAGCCTTGGTAAGCAACAGTCAACCTAGCTGACTGAGTAAAGTATCTATTTTTATATATGTTGGAAGGAAAGCATTTAAAGGGACACTCCAGGCACCCAGACCACTTCTGGCCATTGGAGTGGTCTGGGTGCCAACTCCCACTATTCAACCCTGCAAGTGTAATTATTGCAGTTTTTTATAAACTGCAATAATTACCTTGCAGGGTTAACTCCACCTCTAGTGGTTGTCTACTAGACAACTACTAGAGGGCACTTCCTGGTTTCTAGCACAGGAAATCAGCGTCACTCATTTCCCCATAGGAAAGCATTGCTTTCCTATGGGGAGCTCTAATGGGCATTCGCGGCATTGCCGCGCATGCGCATTAGGTCTCACCGGCCAACGCAATCACAGGGAGGAGCAGCGTAGAGGAAGAAGCAGCAACGTGGGACATCGTCGCTGCCTCTGGTAAGTTACTGAAGGGGTTTTCACCCCTTCAGCAACCAGGGATTGGGGGTGGGAGGGAGAGGGTACCTGCAGTGCCAGAAAAATGGATTGTTTTCCTGGCACTGGAGTTTCCCTTTAAGGATCTCAGAAAGGAGATTACCAGTGGTGTGGCAATTTTCCTTTAAATATTAGATTATTATTATTAAAGCATAGGCCTTAGAGGGTTAGACAATTTTACAGTCAAAATCTGCAAGCTTAAGACTTTAACTAAAGAATGGTGTGCATGCAATCACTTTATGTCAGCAGTGATACTTTATGGCATGCAGTTTTATTCTATCACTTTTTTTCTCTCAGTTTAATATCAATTTACTGTTAATATCAAAGTGCATTAATGCAGTCTGTCGTAGGAATAATCGCATTCTAAAATAAATGTAATTTACAAAACTGAATGGGCGAGTGTTTTTATAGTTATACTAAACAAATATAGCAATAAAATGAGCATAAATGTATGACAAACTACGAGAGAGAAACTATAAGGTGAAAATATTATCTCGGTTACTCAAAATTAGTCATAGATTATTAAAATTAGGCTTATCTAATTTGCATGTAGTGTCGTAATATCTGAGAATGCAGCAATCGGGTCATTAAGATGACTTACAGAATTGCTCCTACATATCTTGAATGTGTTCGGTTTAGTACAATTATAGAACTTAAGCATCCTTATCGTATTGCCATTGTTATAGAGTAGCAATGTTTTATGTTGGCACTACAGAATTTTGGGGAGTACATTTTCTTATTTGCCAATTGTGACATATGTGATCAGGAGATATCTCAGGAGGTGGCAGGATGGACCGTAAGTGTGTATCAAAGAAACAGTTTGGGGAACTTGCTTGTGCCAGTGTGGTGTCTCCACTTGGCCACGCTACACACAGCCACTCACCCTGCAGCTGCGGGCCCTGGTCCTGAAGTTATGGTGGCCCACTGTCAAAGGACCTGCGATTCCTGTGTGTCACGACTACTAGTGTGGTCCAACACGCAGAAACTATGTAAACATATAGATAGAAATAAAAAAGGAAATAAAAGGACAGAACGTAAACCGGATGTAGGGGAGAGCTAGTATTGCATAGCCTACCTCCACTTGTAGATCCCAGTGAGGCTCAGGAACAGCAGTTACAAATCCATAGGCAAAGTATCCAGCAGGTAAAATAATCCAAGGGTATCCCAACAGCACTCCCAATAACTGGACGACACACAGTATCAGGAGCAGAACAGAAAGCTTTATTCCACAGTGGCCTTTTAAAGCATGCTCCCATGCAAGGGAGGGATTACATTCATTATCACAATAGCCAATCCTGTCCTGGTAACCTCCTACACATCTCCTCCCCTCAGCCGGCATCATAATCCCCTTATCCAGTACAGCAATTCCCCCCATTTCTGGATGTACCCCTAAACCTAGGGGTACCACTTTAAATTATACATCCCCTGGTAGCTCTGATCTGGGTGAACAACATATCCAAAAATCACCCAGATCAGACCAGGGGTTCGGGAATTTCATGGAGGGAATAAAATGACCGACCGCAATGGAAGAACTAGCCGAATTGGGCTCCATGCGATGGGGCCCTGCAGTCGGTCCTGGAAAAGGCGAATAAAGTACCCGAAAGCCTCCAGCTATAGAGGCTGGGGAGGGTTCGCCTGAATCCCCTCGTTCGGTTGATTATGCCTACCGAACGAGGGGCCGTTCGGTAGTTTGGAACCGAACGGACCGGGCTGATGGAGGTCTCGGCGGTGTTCGCCTAGTCGAGTGTCCGTTTTGAGTTCCAGACACTCGACGGCAAAACACCGCTGTTCGGGAGTTTAAAATGGCCACCGCCACGTGTTCGTTTCCCGAATGGCGGCCACCCCCGAGAACAAAGGATTGCTACACAGCTTGTCAATTACCCGTTCGCAACAATGTTGCAACGGGTAATAGAAGGCACACTTCACACCGGGGAGGTCTGCTTGTTCAGTAGTTTCATTCCCTTATTTGTTAGAATGATTTCTACTGAACAATCAGACGAATACATTACATTACTGCATATAGATTTAGAAAATAGACGAATACAGGGTAAAAATAATACAAGTCCCAGGGCAGCTTATGGCCATCCACTACATCGGACCTTAGAATGGCCAGACTAATACGTTAGAGACAGAGAATGGTCAAAGGGAAAGCCGAGGTCAAGGAAGCCAGAAATACACAATACCGTTTAAACAAGCCAAGTCAGGGGAACCAGAAATTGGAATAACCAGGAAAAGCAAAGATCAAAATATCAGAATCACAAGGAAAAGCGCACTCTCGGGAACCAGGAACAGGAAACCACAACAGGGCAAGGTACTGGGGCGAATCAGGGATTTAAATATCCCTCTCTAAGCTCTGATTGATCAGAGGAAGACCTCTGACCCCAGAACGTATGCGTGCCTTGTCGTTGTACGTCACGCGCATGTTCGTATCATTTTGGGGGGCAGAGCCATTGATGGACGCGACCGCACGATCGGCGCCATCTTGGTTTTTTCCCAAGCGGCGTGGTGGAGAGGATCCCAGCTCGCCGCTGAGCAGGTAAGCTCAGCATGCTGGCGCAGGCGTGCCGCTCGGGCACAGGCGCGCATCGCGGCGAGTCGGGAGCTGTGACAGTACCCTCCACTCGAAGACCGCTCACCGGGCAGGAAGGAGCCGGCTTGTGAGGAAAACGGTTGTGAAACGACCGGACAAGATGGGGAGCATGAACCCGGTCAGCAGGAACCCAACTACGTTCATCCCTTCCAGTCAACCAGATAAGACAGAACACTTCTAGAGAACTTAGAGTCTAATGTAGATCAGACTTCGTACTCCTCTTGATTACCTACTACCAAGGGCAGAGGAGGAACAACCATTTTTGTGTATCGAGTGCAAGTGAGGGGCTTAAGCAATGATACATGGAAAGAATTGGCAATTCTCATAACCTAGAGATAAATTGGGTACCTCTATCAGAAACAATGTTTTTTGGTACTCCATGTAATAGAAAGATCTCCTTCATGAATATTTTGACAAGATCTTGAGCAGATGGCAATTTTTTAAGAGGTATAAAATGTGCAATTTTGGATTATCTATCTATAACCATAATCCATGGCTAAATGGGTCCATGGAGCGTTAGGTGTAGGAAGTGGTTGTAACAACCCAGGAGGAGGTTTGTGGGGTGTTTTAGAAACAGCACATATTTGACATGCCCCTACATAATCTTTAATGTCGCTCCTAAGAGTAGGCCACCAGAACTTCCAATATAAGCCAAATTCGTATGATCAGTGAAAGTCAAAAGTAGCTCTTTGGAACCTTCTAAGAGATGCCTCCATTCCTTAAGGGCAAGTACAATGGCCAGTATCCCTATTCCCAATGTCATCATTTTTCTCTGCAGGAGTTAGTTTTCGAGAGAAAAACCCACAGGGATGTAAAGGCGCATCAGGACTCTCTCTTTGAGACAGAATGGCTCCTACTCCTGTTTCTGATGCATCCACCTCTAAAATAAAAGGTTTGGTCAGATCGGGTGTGTCAGGACAGGTGCTGAGGCAAATAAAGATTTTAATTTTTAAAATGCCTCCTTTGCTTGCTTGGGCCATGAATTGCAATTTGCTCCTTTCTTGGTTAGGTTGGTAATAGGAGCGATTACTGATGAAAAACCCTTAATGAATTTACGATAATAATTAGCAAAACCTATAAAGCGCTGTGTAGCTGTCAGACCTTTAGGTAATGGCCATTGCAATACTGCCTCCAGTTTGCTTGGGTCCATTTTAAAACCAGAAGGGGATATAACATATCCAAGGAACTGTATCTCAGTCTGGTCAAACTGGCATCGAGGCGAGCCGGGAGCCGTGACACTGTGACCATGTTGCTTATGGCACTGTTTACATCTAACATATCTAGAGGAAATTTTCTCTATATATGCACACACAAACTCATATTTCAGACTTTCTTTTACCATAGTATACTGCAAGGTACTGAGATAGAGTGTGACATTAATACAGAACTGTCAATATGTTACCTATCAGACCAGGAAAAAGTATATGGAAATAAGAGCAAGAGAGAATGACTGTAATTGGAATAATGAATGGAGGAGAGAATCAATTGAAAAATAGCTGGAATGAGGAGAGAAAAAAAGAAGGTGAAAGGCACAGAGAATGAGGGTCTCAATGGAGAGATAATAGGATAAGGCAAGAGGTGGACAAGGAAGGAGATCCGAGACTAAAAAAAAAAAAAAAGCGATGAGATGAGATCTTTGGGGACAGCTGGTCACTGGTGTGTGAAATTTGCATGAGGTTCCCCCAGCAAAATCTGAGAATATCCAGCACTCCAGCAATGTAGTTATATAACTCCAGTATGGTATAAGATACACACACATATTGCAGGGTACCAAATCTTGGCTGCAGGGGGGCAGAGTCATCTGAGTGATTTTATTTGTGGTACACTCATTGCATCATCCGCAAAAGCCTTCCGAATCATCTGAATAGTTTTTGCGGAGAAATGTTGAAGCTTAACGCAAAATTTAATGCACTTTCGTTGCTCTACTCGCTCAGTCATTTTTAATAGAATTTCAATTTCAATTAAACTGTGAATAGCTCCCAACTGATTCCTCTCAAGCACCTGTCATTACTTCTGTAATACTACCCTTATCTTTTGTGTCACTTTACCCCACTTCCTCTAGCAGTAAACGCACTGAGCAGGGCCTTCAACCCCTCTGTTCCTGTGAGTCCAACTTGTCTGGTTGGAATTACATGCCTGTTCGTCCACCCACTGTAAAACAATGCAGAATTTGTTGGCAGTATATAAATATAATAATAATAATAATTTTGACGGCCACACAGTACACACGCTCACTCAATGGCGTCTAGCGCCCCTACTGACTAGTACAGTGACGTTGTCATTGTTCACGCATGCGTATTCCAGTCCACTCTCCTTGGTTGCCAGGTTACATCGATGTTGCGCAATTCTCGTTACATTAACAATCGCTGGATACTATATATACACACTAACTTTCTAATTGCCATTGCTGGTTAGATAATTCCCATCAATGGTCAACCTATTTTTTCATTCTTCCCAGGATGATGTAATAACTACCATTATACAATTCAATTGGTTAAAGCAAATATCAATACCAAAGGATGTACTACAGTATGAGAAAAATCTAAATTATGGATCCTGAATTTTAAATCAGATTAAAAACTTTATTTCATTTATCCGGAGTCTCCTGTATTTCAAAACAAATCCTTCTTGCACAATTAAAATGAAAAAAATAAATAAAAGAACAGATTTGTGCCTCTTCTTTTATAAATCTTAATTTGTTACAGCAAATAACATTGTAATCTGATACACGCAACCATTTCTAGAAATACATTTTTTGTTATTTCCATATATATAATTAGCTAAGCCATGTTTGCAAGATTGAGCTATTGTTCAGCTTAAGTTTACTACAAGTAAAGTAAGATTGCTTCATTAGCTTTCAGCATGATTTTCAAGCTGATTAAGTATTTGGCTGCCAGTTTAAAGACGTGTTTATGCGTAGCAATCTTTAAATCTCTAGTGGGTTATTATGAAACAGTTTAAATTGCAGTCTTAAGTTTTCAACCAAGTAAATTTGATTGCAAGAAAAAAGGGCCAGTCTGGAAACAAGTCAAGTGGTCAACTGCCCGCTGACCTGATATATTGTAACAATTGGCCAGAACATTCCTTATGTGCAGTTTTAAACAATGCTGTTCCAGTGACTATCTTTTCTTTATAGCATGTTCTAATTGATGTTTAGATCATATACATAGCATCCTGGTACCAATCAGTATGTCTATTTTCTTCATTCCTTAAAACCAATGTCACCCTCAGACATTAAAGGAACATTCCACCACCCAAATACAAAATATTTTTTAAATCACTGTTTAATAGATATACCCAAATAAAAACTTGTATGCATTTAATAAAACCGTTTTTCATTGGGGTTACATCTAAATACAGCTTGCAAAACCTGCAGTTCTTTTGTCTGCTGTCTTTGCAAGCCCTCCTACTACTAACACTGCCCAGACATTCTGTGACTGTGAAATCACAGATTTCCTTGTTGCCGCTTGGCTTTAGCTCCACTGAGCATGGCTTTCTTTACACATGGGCACGCTGGGCAGAGAGGCCCCACCCCATTGCCCATGTGCAAAGTCCAACAGGGGAGATCCCTCATTTCCCCAGCCGGCCCACGCAAAGCCGGCCAGCTATCTGCTTCCAGGCCGGTGGGGAGATCAAAGATCTCCCTCACGGCCTCAGGGTACTTCTTGCAGGAAAGGGAGGACCCGGATGGCAGATAGTTCCTCCCGCGAGCAGGAGGAGAGAAGTCAGCCTAAAGCACCCACCACTGGAACTTCAGGTATTGTAGTGTCCCCGGTCCATCCCTGGCCAAAAGTAAGAAAAAGGCGGGGGACATCTATAAATATAGATACACACACACACACACTTTTTGCTCCCTTGGCAGACCCCCCCACAATATATACTCCATGGACAAAGACACACATTACTCCCTCACACACACATAACTCCCTCATACACATTACTTCCTCACACACACATTACTTCCTCAGACACACTGCACTCCATCATATACACATTACACCCCTCACACTGCACTCCCTCAAACACTAAACCGCCTAACACACTTCACCCCCATACACACACACACACACACAACACCCCCTTACACGCTGCACTCCCTCACACACACTACACACACTCACACACACTGCACTCTCTCACACACACTACACACACTCACACACACTGCACTCTCTCACACACACACACACACAACACTCTTAAAGGACCACTCTAGCCACCCAGAACACTTCAGCTTAATGAAGTGGTCTTGGTGCCAGGTCCTTCTAGGTTTAACCCATTGTTTTATAAACATAGCAGTTTCAGAGAAACTGCTATGTTTATCAATGGGTTAAGCCTTCCCCCAAAGCCTCTAGCAGCTGTCTCATTGACCGCCGCTAGAGGCGCTTGCGTGCTTTGCACGCAAGCGTCCATAGGAAAGCATTATAAATGCTTTCCTATGCGACCGGCTGAATGCGCGCGCAGCTCTTGCTGCGCGTGCGCATTCAGCCGACGGGGCGGATCGGAGGAGGAGAGCTCCCCGCCCGGCGCTGGAAAAAGGTAAGTTTTAACCCCTTTCCAGAGCCGGGCGGGAGGGGGTCCCTGAGCCACATATGCATCACATTACACCACAAACACAACACGACTAAAACCGACCTTATTACACAATACCACACCACGACCAGCTCACTCTACACACACGCAATACCACAAGCAGGCTCCAAACACATGCACAATACTCTTTCCTGGCCTTTTGTCTCCTGGTATCCATTTATAGAGACACCAGAGACAAGTTGCAAGGAAACACAGTGCAAGCATGTTATTAAATTTGCTTGCACTGTGCAGAACAAATACAGGACTTTTTTCTCATGCTAGAGCTCTTCAGCAGAGCTCTGCGCATGGTCTGCCCTGGAAGAGCATTGAACCAACATGCTCACTTTGAGAGGAGGCGTGTTTGTCATTGGTGATGACAAAACACACCTCCTATGCCCCGCCCCCTTTTTAGTGGGCCGCTGTGTTAAAAAAATGCCCAGGCCGAATTTTTCTCCCAGTCCGGCCCTGCTCACACACATACAGTACACCCCCTCATACACTGCACCCACTCACACGCTGCACCCCTCATACTACATCATTATACAGGAGCCTGCATGGCTCACTCGATACAGTTCTGTTGAATAGAAGCCATAGGTAAAAATGTGCGAGAGAGGGCATTGAGCAGATATGAGGGCACATACACCGGCTACAAAACCAGTTCTCAATGCCATCCCAAATAAAGATGACACTTTTTATCTAGGTAATTTTACTTATAATAAGAGGCATTATGTCCACATGCAGACAAAACATTTACATTTAGAATCAGTTTTCATAACAAAAATGCCATCAGATTTCTTACAAATATTCAGCAGCCTTGTATTTGATCATTTTTATGTCTACTACAGTGTCACATCTAATCTATGTTACAAAATCAGTATGTGTCATTATACACTAGTTTTACCAACATCTTTGAAGAATTGCAAGATCTAGAAAATTGAAAATATTGGATGCTGGAGATAAAATATTAGAGAAATTAAAGGAAAAGAAAAGTACTTAGCATGCATATATTTTAGGTATCTTTGAATAACAATCAATGCAAAATAGTTACGCTCTAGCCAATATGTCAAAATCTAACGAGGGTAAAAAATTTTTTTTTAAATATATCTATTTATTCAATTTCTAATTTATTCACATACATACAACTTTCATATTTTTTCTTATGAAAAAAAAACTACATAATCAATGTTAACTTCATATTTGCTATTTCCACAAGTCATTCTTTAATGAATAAGCCACATTGTTTATATAAAATCTGTAAAATTTGAAGGGTCTTCTTCTGAAAGCTCATCTCTACCCTTGCTTTTCAATGTGTTTGTCTGTTTTTTATTATAAAATATTGCTATTTCTTAAAAAATATATATATAAAAGATTTACAATATGAAAGGATACATTGCAAGAATACTCAGGGATAAGAAATTAATTTCTCAAGAGGGCAAAAGCCATATTTCATGTTCGGAATGGCTCCTGATTCTTTGGATACATAAATGTCAGTCCTCTACGCAATCTATCATCGCCACTTGTTTATCATGTTATGTTTGATACGGCCAAATGTTATAGGGATAATTAGAAGAGGTAAGAAAACACCAAATGACATTATAAAAACAGGGACGTTGTCCCTCTACAAAGGATTTAATACACCTTGTGTGTCCTGTCAACAAGGCATGAATATTCATAATTTGGGGGTCTATGCAAATAAGCTTTTATAGTCTTTTTTGATTCTTCATAAACTAGGAATAATTGCTTGTAGGAAGATATCACGACCTATGGTATGTATCCCCTTGATACTTGTGACAGTGTCAAGAGGTACTCCAGAATGTGTTTCATTTCAAATGTTAATGGTATTGTAATAGAAGCAGTTGCTGTCATGGAAGCTTGTTGGATGAAAGGTTCAGATTGACATTCTTGAATGGTATAAGCTATTTCTATCAGTACTTGGGTAAAGAAAAGGCTGAGACCCATTGGTGCCAAAAAAAAAAAAAATCACTTGTATTTTGGATCTTTAAAGCAGCAACTTACACGTTGTTCTAGTTCGAATTTACCTTTGCTATATCACATGGGCTGCTGCCCATCGAGGTCCTAAGCAACTACCAGTACGCCAAGCATAGCTAGATTCAGGGTTCCATGATCTTGGAACTGAACAATCTGATTAACCTAATGAGAGAAGTTGAACTTACATTGCCATTGTCATAGTAGTTAGAGACCACATGTGTGGCATATAGCAAATCTACTGCTGGTCCATTTGACCTCTCAACCATTCTGATTATAATGTAACATATCAGGGTTTGAGGATCTGCAAAAAAACAAGAGATCCAGACTTGGCACACAGTACAGGTTGTGTACTAGGAAACCATCAATAAATAAAACAATATAGTTTGAGGCAAATAAATTATATATAAAACCAAGAGGGCTGCACTCACCTGAACATGCATACATTACAAGAGTGCTCCTGGCAGGTCCTACTCTAGCACCCTAATGACTGCTCTTATAAGATCAATCCACTTACTTGGGAAATACTTCTACCTGGGACTCTCTGCAGGTCAAGGCTTAATAGGGCTCTGGAATGAGGCACCTGTGACAGGAAGGGGTACAGAACTAGGGAGTTGGCCTGTATTCCCAAATGCATTCATATATGAAACCAAGAGGCTGCACTCACCTGAACATACATACATTATAGGGGGCTGCTGGGGCCAATTCATAAAACATCCAGCAAACTCACCCATTCACTAAACAGCAACTTCAAAGCTCACAGCCTAACATTTGAGGAAGCCTTTGTGGAGCTTTAAGCCTTTATTACAATTTAGTCCAATAATTAAAGCAGAACTCTTAAAACAGATAATTATTTAATGGTTGAGTACCTTGAAAAAAAAATGACACATGTTGAGACATGCTTAATGATCAATAATTACATCACAAGAAAAGCTCGAGAAAGGTTTGTAGCAGAACAGCAATATGAGGAGTTGCCTGAACAACACACTCCATCAATGAACTAGACAGAAGAGCCAGTCCTCCAGAACGGCAAGAACTCTTATAAACTTCTTGGGTGCATCGTATGGAGTTGTCGTTTCTGCCAAGTTCGTGATAATGCTAATTTTCCAATCCTAACAATGGAAATCTCTTGGTTTGACAAAATTTAAATGTCAATTATATATATGTAAATCTCAACACAAAGGTGCAGCTTTCGTCAAGTGTAATTAGGTGGTAGGGCATCATTCTATTTCTTAATGAATTTAAAATTCTCTTTATTCTGTTTAAAGATATACAAGTAGCTGCTTACTAAAACTTCATCATGTCGGTTTAAATAGACCCAAAAGTGTATCAGGAGATAATACATTGTGTTCGGATGCTTATCAGGGGCTGGGATTTCTCATGCACATTGAAGTTAATGTAGCGTCTGAGATGATTGATACACCCATCACATAATAACAAACTGTGACTGTATTAAATTTGTATTCCACACTTTGTTCGGTTTTATAGTTCACTAGTTTGTTATCATCAGTGGCCCTGTGTGTGACAATAAAGCAATGATAACTATACTAGCATGTATTGCAAATTAGGGGGTGTCAGACATTTTATGTTATTAATAAAATTATTACATTTTCATAATTTTCATAAAATATTACTTGTAATATTATTTGTCCCACAATTATCCCTACAGGAGGAAGAAGTAAAATTACTCAATATTTTAATTAGAATTTAAAACATTTATAGATGAAGCTCCTTTATAGGAAATAAAAACAAAAACTAAAATTGAGGGAAGATCGGAAGAACAAAAGTTTGGACTGTTCTATCAAGCCAGAAATATGTGGAATGAATATTTAACCCTGTAGTTGAGTGCCCCTCCAGCCCCAGGTCTGTGTGAGAGCTGGCATCTGTATACCACCGACTCGGTGGTTCGAGAGTCCAAATCTGACCCTGTCTTTGGGTGGTCGGAGGATATAGGTGTTGTTCGCCACTTTGCGTGGTCAATCTTCCCTCTTCGTGGACGATGCAGGGCTTGCGAGTCCCAGGTGGCTCTCGGCCTGGGTGGGCAGACATTTGATTGCACATGCTTCTTCACTGTCGATGCGCCCTGAGTAGGTTGCCCGCCTCTCCTTAGTCTCTTCCTGGGCTCAGCCACGATGCATCACTGGAGTTTGAGCCAGAATTGTTGGAAGATCTGGTTGAGCCGTGTCAAGGTTTCAGCAACAAAGTCGCTGGAATCCCCCTGAATGGAGCTCTCAGTGTGTGAATCCAAGTGAAGGGTGTATGCCATTTTGATTTCTCAGATAGATGGTCACTGCAACTTTTGCATTGTGATGATTTTCAGTAGGTTTGCTTAACCAGCTCCGAGGGGACCGGGATATCCCCCACCGGTCCAAAGGTGAGGGTAGGGGTGCAGTTGAACCCAGCCCAGAACCAGAGCGCACGAAGATCGGCCACTTCTCCCTCGCTCCATTCCCAGAAGGCCACAACAGGACAAGTCCCCGTGTGGGGGTAACAGACAGCTTGCCCGGGGTCTCCTGTTCTCAGGAACACTTAGGTGGGTCACGGTAGCCAGCAAATTGGGTATATTACACTTTTATTGATTATTAATGCAGGAGCTCAAGCTTTCCACGTCTGGCTAGCTTGGAGGTCAGGCCCCGCCCCAAGTTAAACTGATTTTAATGCTTATACTGTCAATATAAATTGTTAGCTCACCTTAGGTGAGACCTAGGCTAACAAGTAACCTTTATACATAAGACTCTCCTAACAGGGTTTTCCTTGATGTTGGCAAGTGAGCTTTCCTTTTAATAGCCATTGTGGTGGGACTAAAACCATCTATTTTGGTTTAGCATAACTTACGTTCTTTCCTTTGAGACAAAGGATTTCAGGATATAGCTCATCTACAGATATCATCCTGGGGCAAAGGTAATTCTTAAATATATAACAACAAATGACAACAGAAATATTGAAATAGAATGACACGTTCTTATTTTAAAATCATGACAGATTGACCACCTTGAAAGGGGTCTGCTACTCACTGAGGGACAGGAAGTAGAGTGGGAGAAGATAAGACAGCTGGGAAACAGGCACGTAGCTGGGTTACAGTTACATGTAGTAGTGGGTGGATGGGAAGAGGAAAGGTTTAGTTAGTCCTGATTTTTGTGCAACCTAACAGATTTTCTTGTTTGAGTGGAGATGTTGGGAGCATCAGCTCAGGATCAGTTGTTCTGGAGGAAACTGTTCCATCTATCAGCCAAGGGAACAGCTGAGGGAAAAGCCACTCTAGTATAGGTGGGGATGAGAATGTAAGAAACCCTAGAGACGTTGTGGTGGTAGGGGACTTTATTATTAAGAGAGTAGATAGGGTAATCTGCCGCTCTGATCTTCTTAACTGGACAGTTTGCTGTCTCCCGGATGCTCTGGGTCAGCATGTTGCTGACAGAGTGGAGGGATTATTGGGAGGGGCTGGAGATAACCTATCTGTCATGGTCCATATTGGTACCAATGACAAGATTAGAACAGAGGAGGTATGTCATAGTAATATATATTCACATAACATACAAGTGACTCATGATAGTATTAAATGTATGCTTACTAATGCAAAGAGCCTAAATAACAAAATGAGGGAACCTACACTAAGCAATATGACATAATAGGCATAACAGAAACCTGGCAGGATGAGACACATCACATATTATTTAGGAAGAATAGAAAAAAAACAGGAAGAGTGATAGGGCATGTTTGTATGTTAACCATGAGTTAGAGCCAAATCTCAACCAAGTGGAACGTGACAAGGAAATTTGGTATCTTTAAATTAGCTATCTGCTTTGGATAAAAGAAGGGAAAGCAATTATTGGTTGGAATATGTTATAAGCCACCTAATGTTTAACATTGATGAGGAAGAACAGCTGTTATAGCAATTTGGGAAAGCTGCACATCTGGGCAACACGTTAATTAGAGGAGAATTTAATGACCTGGACATGAATTGGGATAGCGGGACTACTAGTTCCGCAAGGTGAATCTGGTTTTTGAACCTGGTAAATGACACCTTTCTGTCACAATTAGTACAAGCACCAACTAGAAAGGACACGTGTCTGGATCTGGTTAGAACAAACAATATTGATCTTTTGACAAACATTCAAGTATGGAGCACTTTCGAAATATTGATCCCAATATGGTGTCTTTTGAAATAAACTCAAAGAAGCAAATGCACATAGGGTATACTAAAACAAATAATTTAAAAAATTCCAATTTAAATAAGATAAGGGACGTTTTACGACTCACTGACTGGCATACACTCTTTAGTGAAGACATAAAAAATATCACAAACGTACACTTTTATATACCACTGAGTAATAAATATAAAAGATACAAAATGAAACCAATGTTATGGGAAAGTAAACCAAGAGATTAAAAATAAGAAAAGGACATTTAAAGCATTTAAATCACACAACACAGATGCAGCCTATATAAGATATAAGGAAGCCAATCATATATGCAAAAAAGGCGATTAGATGGAGTAAACTAGAAAATGAGAAAGTGATCAATGAAGAGAGCAAAATAAACACCCTAAAAAGTGACTTAATAAAAAAAATTAAAAAAAATAAAGTGTAGGTACACTGAAATCAGAGATGGTTGTGTTAGTAAATGAAGACCAGTAAAAGGCAGACATTTGAAATAACAGTTTTTCCTCAGTATATATTAAAGAGGAACCTATGGCAAGATATATGCAAATGATTCCTGCAAAAAAACTTACAGGAAAATTTGTGATTGGATGATTTAGGACAAGGTGCTACTAAAGAAAGTTTATGTTAACAAAGCCCCGGGGCCTGACAGTATATATATTTAAACAGAAGTCTACGTGCAAATGTGCAACGTTAATCAAAGCTGCATGTGCTAGTTATAGACCCATTTTAAAATTAAATGTATGAAACTATTCTTTCTCCCCATAAAGAGCTCGTAGCAACAAGGTTAAAGAACTAAAAATTGATATTTTAGGAGACAGTTTAAATACACAAGCAAAACATTAATCTTAAAGTGTGTATTTCATGGGCCATTTATAATGAAAAACATGAATTTGCGGATGTTTTCCACACAATAATATGTACAATGATGGAGTCGGTAAAGGTCATGATTGGAAATATAGAGGTGAATTTTACAAGCTTATATTCAATTACTGCAGCTTACCATAGCCTTGAACAGTAAGTTAGTCTAGTGTAGAATAGGGTTATAAATCTAGTAATGGCTATATACCAGTGTCACTAGTACAAATCCCCTTCAGCAACTGATTTATGTAGAAGAAGATTACATTCCAAAACTTTTTTTTTTTTTTTGTACGGCTTGTAGAGAAAAGAATACATTAGTCAATGAATCAATGGTACTTTTTGTGTAGCATACAATGGTGCTTACTGTCATAAACTAAAAAAATATATAGTTTTAGATTGAAAAAAGAAAAAAGCTTTTTTTAAATGGCTGAATATATTTAAAGATATTTAGTTAGCAACAAGCATTTAAATCTTGTCCACAACTTTTACGAATAGTAACCCTCTTGACTGAATGTTATTAAATGCTTCCCCTGATAAATTATGTTTCACAGTACAATGACTGACATTAGGGGTTATTAATACAGAGCAAATTTATTTTAAAGTTCTAGAAGTGCACTGATAAGGTCACTTTTAGAATTTGTTTCATGTCCTGGTTACAAAGAAAAAAAAGTTATATAAGCGTCATCATTAGTGATGTCCCGAACGGTTCGCCGAACGGTTCGCGAACGGTTCGCCACGGACTCATCATTGAGTAAACTTTGACCCTGTACCTCACAGTCAGCAGACACATTCCAGCCAATCAGCAGCAGACCCTCCCACCTCCTGGACAGCATCCATTTTCCATTCATTGTGAAGCTGCATTCTTAGTGAGCTGTCCAGGAGGTGGGAGGGTCTGGGAGGGAGGCTCTGCTGCTGATTGGCTGGAAAGTGTCTGCTGACTGTGAGGTACAGGGTCAAAGTTTACTCAATGATGAGTCTGTGACATCACTAGTCATCATATGTTATATAATTTTATTCTATTCTAGTATAGGTGGACCCTGTAACATTTACTAGGGAACCCTAACACACAGACAGGACAGAGTAGAGCGAATTGCAATACCGATCCATAGATTGGTCGGGTTATGCAACAAGGGATAGTCAAAACACGAGCCGAGGTCAAGGGAAACAGAGAGACGGAATAACGAGAGTCAGACCAGTAACCAGGAAATCCAAGTAAGTGCAATGCTCAATGTTAAACCAAAGACCACATCAGGGCACTGAGGCAAGGGAGAGGTTAGCTTATATACACACAGGGTGTGTCTGATTGGCTAATCTCTAATTAGTGTTAACCACAACATGTGGGAGGAGTTCCTTCCCTCCCTTGTGGTCTCTGAGGTCATCACTGTGTGCCGGGTAACACAACCGGGTGCAGCACACATATAAGGAAGCTGCTCTGGAGCGTGCAGCTTCAGACACACTGCCAGATGATGCCGCTCGCGGGGATGAGGTAAGCAAGATCACCGCGAGCGGCACGGGGGCAGGGGACCTGACAGGCCCTCTGCATAAAATCGTCAGCATTGATCTAAAATTGGGGGCAGTCACGACATCCCACTTCTCTTGGCACAAACTATTGCTGACTATTTTCTTTGCACTATGCACAACAGTGTTGGGTCCTGCTGTCAAAACCCAACATATTCAGTAATGTGCGGTTAATAAAATTGAACAGGTCCACAAGCAAACCTCTTCACCTTCCATAATCTCGTGGTTTGTGATATGGAATATTGAATATCAATGGTTTGTTTTCTGATTTGCAGTTTAAAATGTGCACAGTTTCCCTGCTAATACATATTATTGAATTGCTGAATTAATCTTTCTTATTAATTTGTGTCTTTTGGATACTTTTCCACAAAACACATAATATGTCTTATGAAACCTCAGTGAGATACAACAAGAATGACGAAACACATACATATACAAGACAAGTTTTATTGGTTTGAATGGAAATGAGACAAATTGCTTTATTTAAAAAGAGCATAGTTTAAATAAGAACCCGAGGAACAAGATAAACCAGTTCAGATATTTTAACAAACACTTTATCTACAATATGTTAGACATGTGACAAGCATTTCTAAATTAGATCAAAGATCATAAGCCTCGAAAAGGTTTCCATTTTTATACGAAATGCAGGAGCTGTCATACTAGTAAAAATGTTAATAACCCTAGGAAAACAATATATATACAGTGCATATATAATGAGTTTTTAATCTAAAATTAGAAAAATTTATTTATTAGGCTTGTCTGTGTAGACTCCAGTATGTGGACAGAATTAAAGAAAACTGAAAATTAAAAAAAAAAAATTAAACCAGTAGTACGCTTTGAAACATGTTTTTTTTTTAATTAAAACTATAGTTTTTCTCTTAATTTCAATACTAAATATCAAAAAGACTCCAGGGAACTTATATTTAAAGATTTATACAAGTGTGCCAAGCATGCATGCAATTTTAAATCTTAAAAATCTGGTACCAGGCGGATTAAAAAAAGATTTAGAGTGGAATCACTTTCTCATACTAACGCAATAATGTATACACCTTCAACTTTTTATTTATATTTGGGAGTCTTATACATTTCCACACTAGTTTAAAGATTATTTTAAAGGAGGTATGAAAAAAAAAACAATAATCCAATCCAGCTTCGAGTCTTGCAGCTGAATATTGAATAGAGTGGAGTATACAATGTACTGGGGCTTCAGTACCAAAAACTACAAAAAATGACATTTCAGATTAACTTCAAATGGGTAGTTACAGTTAGAATTTTTGGCAACTTACTCAGAATGGTATTTGTATTGTAGCCATTATTTTTTTCAAGCAGTATATAGTACATTTCTATCTAAATACTGCTCTTTAGAGGAGCATTCTAAGCACCAAAACCACTTTATCGTAATGGTACATAGGCCCTATCCCTATAGCTGTTTTTGAGAAAAAGACAATTTTAACTTTCTCAGAAAAAACACACTTCTTGCAGCTGTCAGACACACTACCACTAGAGCATGTCCTCATTATGACTTTCAAAGAACTTTACATTCAGTATCAGCTGGCGAGAGGAGACAATCTAGGCACTTTATTACAAATAAGTTTAATGGAGTTTTTTGCTTTTTTTTTAATTGTTTTTTAAAAAGAGGGTCCTATAGCATAATGCATAGGAACACTCTCTAAGAGTAAAAATAAGTTTAATAATTATAAATCTTAAAAAGTGTCACTTCCTTAACGCGATACAGAGAAAATATTCTAAGCAGTTTATAAAATGAGGTGCTTTGGGACAAATCTGATATAACTGAGGTTTACATAATCAGAGTTTGCATATGTAATGTTAGCATTTGCCTCTCTCCTGGCTATAAAACTTTCAGTAATACATTAACTTAAATTGAAATATTCAGAATATTTGAATAGATTCTGAGGATCACATCTGTCAAGTTGATTTATGGACAGGAGGTTGGGCTGAATGACCCAGCCCGGTGGCCAGGAACTTCATCTTTCAATGTCACACGTGAGCATAAGCAAATATAACTTTAGCAAATCTTTGGCATAGGTCTATATACAACAAAAGGGTGTTAAGTACACTCTCCCTGCCCTTGGATACACAGTTCCTCATTTGATAAACATCTCGCATGACTGTTTAATGTGCACTGTACGTTAATAGCAGCACAGTTGACTTTTAGTTTCTCTAGATCTGAGGCTGGAATGGGTAACCTTCTTTCAAAATTGCCACAAACTAAGTATTGCTAAACCAGAATAAGGTATGTTAGTATTTATTTACTACTTACTAAACTAAAATTAAAGTTACTTTGCATTTGCTGTTTTTAGTTAAAGTGGACTATGGTATAGAATGCAATATACTAAAAGATGTCTGAATGCCGTCCCTTACAAATAGTGGCAAGCAATGCCTCATTACCTAATTGCCACTAAAGTATCTTGATTTCTTTAAGTATGTTAGTGGCAGAGGGTCACACAGTGTCAGGATTTTAGAGTTAATTGTAGTTCATAACTTTATGTTCCTGTGTTTTGTTTATTTGCTCATTTGAGTGGAATTCTTCATATATTGCTATACGTCCTTCTAGCAAGGTTTTTAAGTTCCCTCAGCCAAACCTTTTTTTTGTGATATGTAATGTTTACAGTGTGCTAATCTGGAGTTACTGTACATGCCAAGCTATGTTTGTATTATACAACCACACAAAAATAAATTCAGCACGGAAGCAAAGTGACATGAGTTCAAAAGCAGCTTGAATACAAAGACGGAGTCTTTTTTTCCGATCAGAAAACTGGATAAAAATAGGGGGCAGTGCTTCACTAATCCATGACAAGGTATATGTGGAGTGATAGTGAGGAATTTTCTCGGTCAGGAATTTTCCCTTGCCATGGTCTTTTGTATCAATTTGCAACTCTCTGTATTTCTCTTTGTCCCCAGACCAGCTGGCGAGTAGCCCCAATGAACGATACAAGACAAGGTTCAAAGTGACTTCTGACCCTTTAATAAGCTGTGTAACAAGTCAAATACAGCAGGAAACAGGGGTGGTCGTTACAAGCATTATCCAATCTAATAAAATCATCTATCTTATCTTAACATCTTAACCAATAGCAAGCTTGCAGGTGTATCTTCATGTTCGGGCCTTGCTCAAAGCTAAATTTCACTATAACTACGCACTTCAAATTAATATGCATGCGCACTACGAATTAAAGATATTTACTACTCAGTTCTAAATTACATATTACTATGCAGTTATGATCAAAGGGAGAAACACAGGAAATAAGGCCAACAGCAGAAACATACAGGATATAACACCTGTTACTTGTTGCACAATGTTCTATAACTCTTGTCTAGGGGTATATTCACTAAGCACTGGATATAGATAAAGTATATTATTTCAAATAGCTGACATGTTAACCAATTTTAAACAGACTGGCCAGCCGGTCATCTGTAGCTTAAGCCCTGGGTAAACATAAGCAAAGTGTATTATTCCCAACATGGAGAGAACCAGAGAAGAAATAATAGTGTAGTATTTAATACTGTAGCGGTGATAGGTTAAAAAAAAAAAGATGTGCACTCATACTTTCCTGGAGCTTCAATACAGGTCCAGTCTATGCGTCTGGGCGGAATAATCCCCGCCTATGGATCAAGTGCAGAGGTAATTCTTTGAGTAATAGGTGTGGTAGGGGGTATCCTCATAAAATATAAACAAATAAAAATCGTATACGATGAAGTATGTAGAGCTATGGAGCAAGGGTAGGTAAAAACTATAAAATGTACACTCACGTGTAATGGAGCCGTAAAACATGGCTCCTCTGATAGCGCTTGAAGTGGTATGATCCCCACTCAAGGATACAGGTGTAAATATAAATTATTCCGTCCGTGTATATGTGGATATAAACAAACAGAACCACAATAGTGTACACCGTAAAAAGGAGTGTAAGCAGAAATAAATAAGTTAAACCTACTCACATGCTAAAGAGCAAGTTCCGGTTTGCTCAATCCAAAGCGCTTGGGTGGTATGATCCCCACCAGGGATATAGTTCCAAACAATCCAACAGCAGCAAAGTTAGGTCCAATTAAAACAGTACTTTAATATTAAAAAAAGAAAAGTAATACAATATATAATATAAAATAGTAATAAAAAAAGTTATAAACAATACACTAAACGTGTTTCTCCTTGGTAGGCTTTTTTTGATTGCCTACGCGTTTCTCCTTGGTAGGCTGATTTTGAACATTTGCCTACTGACAAAAAAATGATCAGTCTATACTTTTAATGGTAGATGTATTTTAACAGTGAGAGACAGAATAACAAAAAAAAATGCATGTCAAAAAAGTTATAAATTGATTTGCATGTCAGTGAGTGAAATAAGTAGTTGACCCCTTCGACTTAGTACTTGGTGGCAAAACCCTTGTTGGCAATCAGACGTTTCTTGTAGTTGGCCACCAGGTTTGCACACATCTCAGGAAGGATTTTGTCCCACTCCTCTTTGCAGATCCTCTCCAAGTCATTAAGGTTTTGAGGCTGACATTTGGCAACTTGAACCTTCAGCTCCCTCCACAGATTTTCTATGGGATTAAGGTCTGGTGACTGTCTAGGCCACTCCAGGACTTTAATGTGCTTCTTCTTGAGCCACTCCATTGTTGCCTTGGCTGTGTGTTTTGGGTCATTGTCATGCTGGAATACCCATCCACGACCCATTTTCAATGCCCTGGCTGATGGAAGGAGGTTCTCACACAAGATTTGACAGTACATAGCCCTGTCCATTGTCCCTTTGATGCGGTATAGTTGTCCTGTCCCCTTAGCAGGAAAACACCCCCAAAGCATGGTGGAGATGGTGATCTTGGGGTCATAGGCAGCATTCCTCCTCCTCCAAACACGGCGAGTTGATGCCAAGGAGCTTGATTTTGGTCTCATCTGACCACAACACTTTCACCCAGTTCTCCTCTGAATCATTCAGATGTTCATTGGCAAACTTCAGACGGGCCTTTACTTTCTTTAGCAGGGGGACCCTGCGGGCACTCTAGGATTTCAGTCCTTCATGGCGTAGTGTGTTACCAATTGTTTTCTTGGTGACTATCGTCCCAGCTGCCTTAAAGTCATTAACAAGATCCTCCCATTTAGTTTCTGGGCTGATTCTTCACCATTTTCATGATCATTAAAACTCCACGAGGTGAGATCTTGCATGGAGCACCAGACCGAGGGAGACTGACAGTTATTTTGCGTTTCTTCCATTTGCGAATAATCGCACCAACTGTTGTCACCTTCTCACTTAGCTGCTTGTCGATGGTCTTGTAGCCCATTCCAGCCTTGTGTAGGTCTACAAACCTGTCCCTGACATCCTTGGACAGCTCTTTGGTTTTGGCCATTGTGGAGAGTTTGTAATCTGATTGATTGCTTCTGTGGACAGGTGTCTCATATTCCAGTTAACGAGCTGAAATTAGGAGCACTCCCTTTTAGAGAGTACTTCTAATCTCAGCTCGTTACCTGTATAAAAGACACCTGGGAGCCAGAAATCTTGCTGATTGATAGGGGATCAAATACTTATTTCACTCATTGACATGCAAATCAATTTATAATTTTTTTTACATGCATTTTTTTTGTTATTCTGTCTCTCACTGTTAAAATACATCTACCATTAAAAGTATAGGCTGATCATTTCTTTGTCAGTAGGCAAATGTTCAAAATCAGCCTACCAAGGAGAAACGTGTAGGCAATCAAAAAAAGCCTACCAAGGAGAAACACGTTTAGTGTATTGTTTATAACTTTTTTATGGATTTCTGGATTTTTATATTTTTTTGTTATTCTGTCTCTCACTGTTAAAATACACCAGCTAATTAAAATTATAGACTGATCATTTCTTTATCAGTGGACACATGTTCAAAATCAGCAGTGGATCAAATACTTTTTTCCCTCACTGTAGAGAAAAGCCACCAGAGGGCTCACATTAACTTACACATTCATCTCACACTCAAAGCAAACACCAACAAACAGTCATCTAAAAACATGATGAGTTCACATTGACATAGACACTTGTCTCGCACACACACAGGATTCAAACTAGCACACGCCTTCATCTCACATCCTCACATGGTGAGTTCACACTAACACATGCCTATCACACTCGCTGAATTCACACTATGAAACCCAACTAATTCAAATATACTGAATTCACTCTGCTGCAAACACTGATAACAACGATAAAATACACACACAAACCAATAAACAATATACATTTACAACACACTAGTCATTTACATACACTTCACAAAATAAGAGCCCCAAGCTAGCAAGATAAGCTAATTCAGAAACAATATAGCGATTACTCAATAATTAGAGCTAGATTGACAGGGTTATTGGAGTAATGTGACAGTCACAATATCTATTTTCAGTTTTCTTTTATTTAGTCGATTATAAAATGGCTGCCACTAATACACTGGTCCTCCAGTTGTATCTGTCTTTTTTATTTATTAATAGTTTGCCGGACTCTGCCTGTAACTGTGCATAGAGGTTGGCTTCTATTTTGTATGCAAAGCCTCGATTCAGATGTGCCATTGCAGTCAGACAGGAGTAAGAGTCCAGAGGTAATTTAGGCCAGTAAAAGGTTATCCATATGTCACATATCTAGTCCATAACTACGGTGACATTGGGAATGTAAATTAAACCTCACTCATAAGATCCATCAAGTTTTTCAGCTGTAGACCAAAGAAACCCTTAATCCAACAAAGGTCTCTATTTAACCCCTTAAGGACACATGACGGAAATATTCCATCATGATTCCCTTTTATTCCAGAAGTTGTATCATTAAGGGGCTAATGAGTGTTCCAAATTATCCAACAATGTTAGAAATTCCAAATGATTTTACTACAAAAACCCCCATAGTCTTTAATGCTGACTTCTATAGATCAATCATTTGATAAATGTTCTAACAATATTAAATAATTTGGAAAGCATATTAAATTGTGCCAATGTCAATAATGCAAACAGAAACACAGGAAGCAATAGGGAACCACAGCAGCAGGGTCCTGACTGGTAGGTTTAATAAAACATTAATCCTTTTTCTCTCTCCACCTACTAGTTAATAGTTTGCATTTCCACAGTCCAATAGCCAGTAATGCATTTTCTCTGCACAGAGTAGCCTCTTTCTGCCTGCTACCAAATGAAGAAAAGGGTTTTGAACCACAATCAACTGATAACCACAAATCCACATGGGCCTCCACGTGGATTTGTGGTTATGAGTTCAGTGTGGTTTTAAAACTTTTTTTTTCATTTGGTTACTAAGTATAACTTGAACAGAGGAGCGAGCACCACTCAACTGCTTGCTTTGTCTTCATTGAGTGAGAAATTCAATTAATATTATGTATACTATTATCAAAAATAATAGATCAGGGTGGTGCAGTAGACATTGTTTACCTAGATTTCAGTAAGGCTTTTGACACTGTTGCACATAGAAGGCTTATCAATAAACTGCAATCTTTAAGTTTGGATTCCAATATTGTTGAATGGGTAAGGCAGTGGCTGAGTGACAGGCAACAGAGGGTTATAGTCAATGGAGTATATTTGAAGCTTGGGTTTGTCACCAGCTGAACCTGTTGGTACCTGTTGGTACCTCAGGAATCTGTACTTGGACCCTTTCTCTTTAATATTTTTATTAGTGATATTGCAGAAGGTCTTGATGGTAAGGTATGTCTAAGATACTGATACTAAGATATGTAACAGGGTTGATGTTCCAGGAGGGATAAGCCAAATGGCAAATGATTTAGGTAAACTATAAAAATGGTCAGAGTTGTGGTAATATTTGATACATTACTAACTTCAACATTGGAGGAAAGGGATTATTTCAGATAACTTAAAGGTAGGCAGACAATGTAATAGAGCAGCAGGAAATGCTAGCAGAATGTTGGTTGTATAGGGAGAGGTATTAGCAGTAGAAAGAGGGAAGTGCTCATGCCATTGTACAGAACACTGGTGAGACCTCACTTGGAGTATTGTACACAGTACTGGAGACCGTATCTTCAGAAGGATATTGATACCTTAGAGAGGGTTCAGAGAAGGGCTACTAAACTGGTTCATGGATTGCGGGATAAAACTTACCAGGAAAGGTTAAAGGATCTTAACATGTATAGCTTGGAGGAAAGACGAGACAGGGGGGATATGATAGAAACATTTAAATATATAAAGGGAATCAACACAGTAAAGGAGGAGACTATATTTAAAAGAAGAAAAACTACCACAACAAGAGGACATAGTCTTAAATTAGAGGGACAAAGGTTTAAAAATAATATCAGGAAGTATTACTTTACTGAGAGGGTAGTGGATGCATGGAATAGCCTTCCAGCTGAAGTGGTAGAGGTTAACACAGTAAAGGAGTTTACGCATGCGTGGGATAGGCATGCGGCTATCCTAACTATAAGATAAGGCCAGGGACTAATGAAAGTATTTAGAAAATTGGGCAGACTAGATGGGCCGAATGGTTCTTATCTGCAGTCACATTCTATGTTTCTATTAGTTTATCAATTTGGGATAGCTGTAGTTGTCCCCCCCATTTGTATCTCCTTCTTCCTGACTGGAACAATCAAAAAGAAATACCAATGTTTGAAATGAACAACAGCTAGGGCCATGCACAATTCTTGGTCATCTGCCCACATTCCCGTATTAAATACATTTCTGTTGGATTCTTACTGTTAGAAGCTTTAATTTTCTGTCACATGTTGAATCTGTGATACAATGACTTTTTTTCTAAATGCCTTTATCTTATCAGTTCGATCAGAGACAGAACCTGTTGGTGCACAAGCTTCTCTAACTGACAGGCACTTGTTTATCCATGTATTAAAGTGATCTACTTAACATCGAATAACCGATTTAAAATAAAACAAACCGGTTTGTTCACTAAACTGATAATCTGAGACAATGGGCAGGGAATTGCAAATATAAAATCAAAATAGCTAAACACGAGAAATAATCCACCTTTAATTTTCTAGGCTGAATATTTTATTCTAAAATTTTCAAAATTTCCAATTGTGTTCTTCAATGCTGGATCAAGGATTGGCTTTGATTTGTATATTTTATCTACATGTTCTGGTCAGGGGGGAAAAAACAGCATAGATGCTAAGCAAACACTACACATATAGTATTTCAATTTCTATGTTTATTTTAAAAACATATTTTGCTTCTATTAAAACTAAGTTTTTAATGTTTCATTGCTCTTTGAACTAAAAGAAAGAGTTAGAGAGACGGGGAAATGGATTAATAACTCTTAACAATGGTCATATAATGGAATGGAATATATTAAAATGTGTCAAATAAAAATCTATCACGTTGGTAACATTAAGCATTAATAATTAATATACTGTGTTTATATTTCATACACATACTCGGAGGCCTTCATTCATAATTGTATTTCGCTGCATGGAATTATGCATTGAGAACTTTGAGAGCGTAAAATGTATTCCATAAAAACAATAATCTGTTCCTAAAATATATTAAAAAGTAAATAAAAGCACTAATAAAAATAATAATTATAATGATGATGAGAAAGCAATCCTCCCACAGATTCCTTTACATCGTATATAAAATGCATTGGGTTTTCCAGAGAATGTGGCTATTGTTATGCCCCCCTAAAGATTTAGCCATTAAATATTTGATAGATATATATGTATTTAAATTGTATGGGGATGTAAGTGCATAGTGTAGTGGAGTACTTGCAGTCACCATTCTAAAAGGTCATTATTTTTGTGATTTCTACATTCAAATCTTGGCAGCCTACTTCTGTAATGCGGGGTCCCTATAAAAATTTAATTGGGTGGGACTGCACTGGAGCACTGCATGTATTTTTCAGAAACACCAAATATTAACTGTTACAGTGCCAGTTATGTTATCAATGTATCGCACATGCTGGGAGAGCTAACGTTGAGATTTAAAGCTCCTATCTATATGTTAAACCATTATTTCAATGTCAGCATAATCATTTTGAAGATATTGCACCTTTTTGGAGCTGTTTTCTCTAACCAAATGGTGCTTTGTGCATTGTTATGCCTTTTTTGGTAAATTCTGAATCACTTTTGTCCAAAGATACCTCCCATTCTCTAAACCCTCATTCCCATGCTTTCATTACATATTCGGATTAATGTAGCTTAATTAATCATTGGAAAGGAATTCTCATATCGGGTAAATATAAAATAAACAACAAAGTGGACATTTGAAATTCAGTGGGTTTCATGTGTCAGAGAAAGTAGGTTATTCAATACATCGTTATAGCAGTTCTATCTAAAATTATTTTGGACTCAAGAAGTCCGTGGTTACCTACAGTTATGGCACTCATGTTAGATGCAGAAGAAGTGCTCAATAAACATACTTTTCCACTAAATGATATGTTAAATAATCAAATGTCTATAAGTGCATGTGGCTTTAGAAAAGTGATTTTGGCAGCATTTTATTCAGTAGATTACACACTTGCTACTGCACTCCAATAAATTACTGACTCTATTTTGTGCTGATTGCCACTTGTCAAAGAGAGAGAGAGAGAAAATTGCATGAAAATAGTGTCATGGAGTAGTGGAGTATCAATCACTTTCGCCACTAGGTGGCATATGCATACACCAAAGTGGTCCATGAACTGTGAATTAATCATCCAAAACTCATTGCAAGGGATACATTATTTGACTAGTAATTTCGTTCACTATTATGACATTTTAGATGACCAATTGCTGCTACTAAATAACAAATAATACTATTATATACAGCAGGGCTTTTTATTGTCAATGTGTCACTACTTGAAACAAGCATGTTCTCTTACAAATAACTATTGCCATTTACATTCCAGTTCTCGTACTGAAATGAAATAGTAATATAGTCTGCAGGACATTAGTCTCTATGGGACCAACATTGTGCTACAGCTGTGGTTAAACCTATTTAATCAAGTTGATATTTATAAATAAAAAATGAGGTACATGGGGGCACAAACAAACAGACCTAAATGTGCAGGTCTTTAAAATTAATGTATTCTACAAAAATAAAATACATATTTATTCAATGTATGGTAAATAGAAGGTATGAGTTGTATCAGCCCACCTGATCAGACCAGATGCAAGTTCCCTTAAGCATACTTAAGGTTCAGCCATATTGTACTTTTGACCTTTCATGATTCTGGTGACCCTTATAATGCATTTATAATACTTATTTTCACTTTTTTTTGTGTTTTACTGACACTACTGAATACAGGTCAATCTTTTCATTGGCGTCTAAGCCCGCAGTCCACAAAGAAATTGTGGATTAGCAGAGCAGGATCATGATCAGAATTTACAAGACATTTGCATAAATTAATTTGTTTTAATGTCTGCAAGAAAACAGTTAATCATGAAATTATTTAAAATTACTTTGTTTTTACCAATTAACAGTGCCTAGAACATGGGGTAGGCAACCTTTTAGCAGCACTGTGCCGATATAGGATTGTGATGTCCCGTAGCGTGCCGGTCCTATTGTTTTAAATTGAGGTGTGTATGCTGCCGTATTCTGCTTGTGTTATTATATTGCAGTTTCTTTGTATCGTTGTATTTGTGCATATATGAGCTATTATATTGTATATGTTCATGAGTAGTTTGTGGTATTGAGTACCTATGAATGTGGGCTGTGTATCGGGGCAGCTTGTTGAATTGTGTGGGATGGATATGTCACATTATGTGTTTGGTAGTGTGTGTATGTGGATTGCATGTGGGGTTGTGTGTGTGTATGTGGATTGCCAGTGGTGTTGAGTTTGTGAGGATTATGTGTGGGCTGTCGTATTATTTGTATGAGGGAAGGGTTATTCTGAAGCTCTGTGTATATGTAGCAATGTGGGTGGCTTCCCTGGTTTCCAGAGTGGACCAGGCTGGCCAGGTACAGCTCAAGGACAGGAGCCGCTCTACTACAGTCTGGATTCCTATTCACAAGTGCTGTGAGGAAGTGATCTGAAATCACTTCCTCTACGTGCTGCAATGCATAAATTGAGGATTGTCCTTCACCACCTTTTCGTATTAGCAAATATCAGAAGTTTCACTGGGACTCCTGATAGGCCAGAGCCTGTTTGGCTCTAGCAGTCTTGAGTGCCGTGCAAAGGCACCTCAAGGGGTTGCCTACCCCTGGCCTAGAACATATCTCCATTATGTAAGAATCATAACCTTTGAAAACATCATGTCTTGTTTTATCACTGGATTTTTTTTAACTCAAATATATTATTGTTAAAATTGTTACTTAAAAATAAAAGGCAGCGTACTATACGTTTTTTGTTGTTTAACTGAACAAGACATTGAGGTACGCTTACAATCAACACCATACAGAGCTTAGACTAAAAAAAGCAAAAGTCTTGTAAATGCACCAAAAGGGAATGTTTAAATTATAAACGCTATCAACCTGTCTGGTTTCAATTAATTTTTTTTTTTTGCAAGCCATGTCATATATTTCACTCATCTTCTTTACTCGCTACTTAAAACCAATCTGAAGAGAAAACTTCATTGTACAAATCAGATATCTCTGACATAAATTCACGACAAAAGCGACTCCACAGATATTGGTCACATTTCGGCTCCCTTGGGTAATGGCGTGCTACATAAATATGTATGTGTCTGCCTGAAGTGTTGATAGTGTGCTGGAACTGTTGATAATAAAGATAAACTAAGTATATATAATCACAATAGCTGTTCTCATTTTATATGACTCTATTTGCAATAAAACCAGATTCACTGATATGAGAAAATGGCAAGGTTAAAAAATAATTGGAGTAGACTCGTAGAAAAAAAAAAAAAAGAACTCTAGAGGGACATCATTTATAAAGTGGTTTGCTTGCCAGAGATATTTATTCAGGATCGAATAAAATCTGGATCAAACCGTTACTTCGTTGTTTGGCCTTTTTTAACGTTTAATGGCCTTTGAGAAATCTTTCCCTGTAACAAACAACAAAAAAAGCATGTCCACAGTCAATTTTTATATATGGGTCATTTTATGTTGTCTTATGTCTGACAATATGGTGTTATTTATAGTGTTAGAAGAAGTAATTTAACTCAGCAATGTCATACAAGGACTTGTGCTCACTGAATCACACAATGTTAGTCCTTCGGTTACTGAAATAGCTATAGTAAAAGGATTAACAATATCACCGTAAGACAGGCTGAAGTTGTATATTGTACCATGAGGTTTACGAATTTAGCTAGTGGACTTATGGAACGGGAAATGTGAAAAATGTGGTAGATGTTCCTTTTTTTATATCTGTTGGGTTATTGACTGGCATGCCCTAGTGAAGCATGGTCAACATGATGCTAATATCCTAGAACAGGGGTAGGCAACCTACAGCACTAGTGCCATGCACGGCACTCGAGGTGTCTTTGCACGGCACTCAAGGTTGCTAGAGCCAAACAGGCTCTGGCCTATCAGGAGTCCCAGTAAAACTTCAGATATCTGCTAATCCAAAAAGGTGGATCTCAGATCACTTCCTCCCAGCACTTGTGCAGCAGTAGAGAAACACACAGTTGCAGCTCCTGTCTTTGACATGTTCCTGGCTGACCTTGTCCCCCACTGGAACCCAGGGAAGTCACCCACACTGCTAGATATACACAGAAATGCAGAATAACCCTTCCCACCATACAAATAATACGGACAGCCAACACACAAACATACACACAATCCAAACAAACGCAACACCACTAACAATCCACATACATGCAGCCTCTCATATGCAATACCCCAAACAGTCCCCACACACTACCAAACACACAATGTGACATATCCATCCACACACACAATTCCACAAGCAGCCCCCATACACAGCTTACATTCATATGTATTATACACAATACCATAAACTACTCATGAACATATACAATATAATAGCTCATATACGCAGGGCTGTCTTTAATGCAGGGCAAACGGGGCAGCTGCACAGTGAGCCCCGCTGGCCTCAACTATTTCTCACCCCCCGGCCGGTAATCCGCACACTAAGGAGGCCCACCGGCTGGTCCACACACAAAGGGCCACCCGGTGGGCTTCTGTCAGCAGGGGTCTGGTCGCGCGCTGAGGCGCTTTAACAGTGGGAGTGGGCCCCTTGCTTTTCGGCAGCAGGCTGGGAGGAAGGGACAGCCGTGCATCACTTCCTCCCACAAAGAGAGGAGCGCGCGAAAAAAAAAAAAAAGAGTAGGCAGAGTGGAGGGGGGCTGGCCGAGAGAGCCAGACCCCAACTCCCAACACCTTCAGCAGGAAAGGTAGGAAACTGGGGGGTGGGTTTTAAAGTGTAAATTTTGTGTGTGTTAGTATGCTTGTGTGTTTGTGTGTGTGTGTGTGTCATATCTGTGTGTGTGTGTCAGTATTTGTGTGTCAGTATGTCTGTGTGTCTGTCCATCTGGGTCTGTCAGTGTGTGTGTGTCAGCGTTGAGGTGGAGGACGTGATTGCATGCCAAATGCTTGGCCCAGGGTCCAGTCAATATTAAAGACAACCCTGCATATACATATGTTACTGTTATTGTACTGATTCTGTGTATGTTATTGTATCTGATCGTGTGTCTATGTTTTTGTATATTACTGTGTGTGACTGTGTGTCTATGAATGTTAGTGTGTGTGATTGTGTCTATGCATGTTACTTTATGTATGTGATTGTCTGTCTATGCATGGTGACTTAAAGAGGGATTTTGTATCCATGGCAATCTAACAGGACAATCAGAGAGAATTGTCTCCTTTGTTTGCGCTTTTAGTGATCCATACCATGTATCACACAATCCCCTGGAGTATGATATCTCATACCAAATACTTTTAGTGATTCAGAATTGATGGGGTCAGCATTGCCAATCTACAATTGACCCAGGTACCTAAATAACTTACTCGTAGCTACTATTTTAGTTGTCAATCTGAATCAACTTTAATCAAAATGCTTATAGGAGATATGTAGTTATAGTTAACCTGGTCTAGAGTAAAATAATTGGGGCAGCCTCAGGAGTGCATGGGATTACTGATTATTTATGGGATGAGAATAGCTGTACCCCAAAATATAGTAGTGCCCTCAATATTTGGGGGAGCACTCAAAGTTTACTATAATCCCACTCACCAATACTAAACCCTCAAATGTTATAAATATGTCCTACTTATTCCATAATGAACCTACATCTGTTAATTCTGTATATTTATTTATGCATTGGTTTTCAATACATTCAGATACATTGTATCGGATCAATACTCAATAGATATAAAACTGTCCTTCTCATATATGATTGTTGTGTGTTGACAGCAATTTTATTATTATTATTATTATTATACAGAACAACGAATAGGTTCATCCTCTTTATGCACCATATCTATACAATAAAAGATAAAATATAATATTGATAAAATTACACTCATCGCCCTGAAAACTGACTGCCGCCCACAATGTACAGTGAACCAGGTGAAAAAAACGACAGAAATTACACATTATGTCAAACTGATTTTTTTTTGTTAAAGCAAACTGAATAGGAATTTAAAAAAATAGGAGAGAAATGTGTGTCATGGGAAAAAAAAAACCTGGAGGGCACAAGAAAATATTATAAGAGAAAAATTAAACCCAAAAAAGGTGACTATATGCAGAAAATGCATTGAACCAAATCAAATGGCCTCTAGCCAAGATAATCTCTTTAAAGAGAACAATTTCTGAGATAAATTATTTTTATACACATTTTCCATCACCGTGAATGAAAGAAAAGGATTGTAACGACAGTAGTATATTAGTAGTGGTGGCTTTGGACGTCAAGAATACTGTTAAAAGCAATTTAATAACAGTATTATATTTATTGTGCCCATGGAGATAACAGAATGCAAAAATATAAATACATTAAATAAGATAAAATATACAGAACCTTTTTCTAAAAAGAGTTAAAAGGAAACAGAATAAATTCCACGTGCAGCCATGTTAACCCTTTCATTATTTTTCTATACCCGACATTGAATCATATAATGAAGTGATTTGACATTGATTTGACCTTGAGAAGAGTTACAGATAGAGAGATGATCATAAGCTGTATATTTTCATGAAAAAAATAGCAGATATTTTAGATAATAGTGTAAACCAGCGGTGTCTAGCCTTTGCCCCTCACTTGATGCTAAGATAAATTTTAAAAAGGACACTCCAGACCCCACTTTTGTTTGCTGGAAAGCTTTTTGTGTGAGGAGTGTGTCCTCTTGTTTTCAGTTTGCAAAAAGTGCAAATTTCAATAAAAATGTACACTTTTATAAACTGGTTACACCCCCTTAACTTTCAATCAGAGAACAGCTTCTGTTACTTCCTGGTTTGGTAAACTCAGTGAAGCTAAACTCAAGAGGCATCAGTTGCCCAGAGCAACTAACTTGCAAATACTTCTCATTGAAATGCATTGGGAAGTCTGTGATTGGACAGACACAGAAAGTCTGGGTGGGGTTAGAAGGGTTGGGCTTGCAAAGGCTGCAGACAGGAAAAAATTGGTTTTGCATCCTGATTTTCAATATAACTCCAATAAATAAATGTATAATCAAATTCATCTAAGTTTTCTTTTGGTGCATATCTACTAAATATTGATTTATTTTCTATTTGAGCAGTGGAGTGTCCCTTTCACAAATTTTGACAATGGGCTGACAGAGTATCCTGTAATTTGTAGACAAGTAAAATGCAGGAATATATAAATTTAACGTATTGATAGGGATCAATTATCACAATGCTGGGACAAATAAATGGCTGAAATATGTTGTATGCCATTTTCAAAACCGGGACACGAAATGTATAAATATTTAGTATACAACTAATCAAACGATGGTACAAAAATGTATAATATATGGGATGCAATTCTCAACAGATGCCTACATCAATACTGCGTAAAAGGTCACCTGACAGTAATTATGCAAGTGAAACACAAAAATCTCAAAGACGTGTGCATTTTACAGAACCCGAAGCAATTATTATACCTGGTGAGTAAATTAATAATATGTTTGCACATTCAAATTAATGAGAGCACGGAGGGGTGATACAAAGAAATAAAAATCTGCGCATGTATGTATTGTCAATATAAGAATATACACATACTCACAGTAACACTGTATATTTCACACTATATCACTATTTATGTTAAAATATATTTTCTATAACCATTGACAAAATAACTTAGAAGTCTGGTGGTTATGTCACTGAGTTTAGTGTTTGTGATTAGATTGTATACCAATGTATAAATATAGGAACACTACGCACACCATAACCTCCTGTTTTCTGTGCATTGATTAGAGTACAATAAATCCCTGTCCATTCATTTTGTTTACTTTAACTGAAGCAAAATAGTTTAGTTGCAAATAGCTGGCTACCGTTTTTGCTCCCACCCTGCGATATCTCAGTGGGCAGCTATCCCTTGGACATACAAGATCCGTTTTAAGCATTATGGAATGCCTTTTCTATAAGAGAACTTGTATCCTAGCGATAGCTAGAAAAATAGTGTAATTCGTCCAAATAAGCTATACAGGAATTTAAAGGAAGTTTAGAGACAGTTTTTATTACTTTCACAGGTTGGTTCATTCATGTGTTTTCATGAATGCAACTACCCATTAATTGCATACCTAGAAACCTTGCTAAGTAATGATTTATGTGGCATGCCGAATCCATGCTAAATAATGGGACAGCCGTGGCTGCCTGATAATTCTCTAGGGGATGAGGGTCAAATTAGCCTTTGCATTATGACAGATAAACCTAATGCAGTGCCAGTTAAAACCTCAGAAAATGCGTGATGTCCTTACAAAGAAATAAATAAACGACTAAGTGTCATCTGCTTGCACACCCTCCAATCGCTATAAAGTTAACATACAAAGAAGTACAAGTTTACTCGGTACAAACCTGATTATTCTATTTAATCTGTACAGCAAATATTTAAAATTCCCCTAGCTGGATATATTTCCCTTTAGAATTTTTGTTTCGCAGTAATAGATCAAGCAACCACTCTGTGTTCTTTGCGCGGTCTCTCTCTCTCTCTATGTTAATTCCTAAACTTACGGTTTGTGCTTAAAACAATTCCATAATATGCAAAAGGAGAGAGCTTGATGGAGGTTCAGAAAACACATAAATACTTTTAGACATATATAATAAAAGCTAAAATATAAAATATATATATATATATATATATATATAAAAGGTGTATTGATTTTCTTTTTAACTATCTACTTAAAATGTAACCCTTACAAGTAAACAGTAAACTAACAACAAAAGCATATCCCAATAGAGACCTCATTTATAAATTGTTGGATAAACTTTTCAAATTATTTAGCATTTTTGGATAAACATTTAAAAATATATTTTTAAAATCTTAAAATATAAAAAAATATATATATTAAAAATAAAAAAGCATCCAAGCTAAACTGTCACCACTAAGAGGAGCTCCTGCTGCATATCGACTATTTGGCCGATCTACCTACCATTGCTGAGATAGTCTGATGGCAACCTACTCACCCTAGCTCCTTTATGAGGGTGGAACTTGCCTGATTCCTTTTCTATTCTCCCAGGTGAGCAAAGTGGTGAAGAGAAAGGTCTGGGCTTACACAGGCTCTCTGCAGACTAGAGTGATGTGACTTGCTCCCAGATCCCCTCGAGGCCTTATTCTTCCCTCTATCGAGAGGTAACTATCAGACACCTCACATACATATAATGGGGAGAAGATCCCAAATCTCAGCAAGTAGGGACTAGTGATGTCGCGAACTTGCCGCGAACGGTTCGCCACGAACCGTTCGCGGCAAACTCCGGTCAGCTGACATATCCCTGCCAATCTCTGGCAGACCCTCCCACCTCCTGGACAGCATCCATGTTGAAGCTGCCTTCAACATGGATGCTGTCCAGGAAGTAGGAGGGTCTGGGAGGGAAGGTCTGCCGGAGATTGGCAGGGATGTGTCAGCTGACCGGAGTTCGCCACGAACGGTTCGTGGTGAACCGTTCAAGGCAAGTTCGCGAACGGTTCGCGACATCACTAGTAGGGACATCTAAAGACACACAAGACATTGCTCAAACATTCTGCGGTCCACAAGACAGCTGCATGGCAGAACAGGAGGCCTATGTCTCCAGCTCAGAGATTAACTCAGAGGCCCAGAGTGTGGAGAAAAAGACCCTTGTGCCCACACCTGCACCCTGACAACGGGGGATACACAAGTACCAGCTACAAAGCAAGACATACAAAACCTGCTACATGATATTAAAAAGCTATTTGCAGTGGATCTAGAATTTATAAAAGTCGACATTCAAGTGGGCTTTATTCAACTGAGGAGGACATTATTGACTTATGCCAATAGGTATCCACTGTGATATACACCCTAAAACAAGTCCAGACAACTTTTTGGATTTGTTAGATGATTGCAGCAAGAGGGCTTATATTAAAATATGGAGCATACCGGACTGTGTCACATCAGATGCGTCACTACCTAAGGCGCTTTATCGCTTCTCTTTTACTGTCTTCACAGGCAAAAAGAATAGTGTTTGACAGATTCTATTGCATTAACAAGTCTTCCAAAGCACCGTCAGCCTTCTACCGCAATGTCATAGTCATGTGTCACTCACTTAATGATAGCCATTTTAGGACAGTGCTAGAGGGCAAAACACTGTATGTCTTTAAATCCCTGGGCCCAATCACCCGTCAACGCCGAAAAGCAGGGGACTACTGATGGTCTGCAGAGAGGTCCTTAAACATAAACAAAAAGAGGGTGTCTTAATCTTTTTTATACACTTTTACCATGACAACATTTGCTTGACACTTGTATACGCATTGCATACTTTGTATTCTGTGCTTTCAACTCAATAAAAAAAAAGATTGACAAAACACATATATAAATGTATATATCAATATATATCAATATATAAAAAAATATAAAAATGTTTTAAAATATTAAAATATGTTTCAAAATATTAATAATTTTAAAAGTTTATCCAACATATTAAATAATTTCAAAAACTCGTCCAAAAATATTAAATCGAGGCTATGATCACAAAAAGCATTCCTTGATTCAGGCCCGTATTCTTTGCTGTTCACACATTTTTTCTGGGTTTTGTGAGGATAGCAAATTTTGTGTGTGAAACAAATGATCAGCTGAATGTCTTTCATTGCAGTAGACGTGTGTTTTAGAAGAGCTGTTCAGGCAAGCACATGAATGACTAGTGACTTCTGCTGAGTTGGCGTATTTGGTGGATTCATTATATAAATTAATGATTAATCTTTACTTTGTGTATTCTTTATTAATTTGTATTTATTTCTTTGCAGTAAGAAACCATCACCACACCTCAAGTTTGCCCCTGCTCGTGATTATCACTATTTGCATTTTAATTTTCGCAGTGGCCACAATGTTGTATTCTCATCACATGCAGATGGGTTTTCGCTCATTCAAGTCCAAGTTTCTAATCTTTACTCTTCATGTAAAACACAATGCAGGATTTATTTGGAATCTTTGGAGGAAACAATAGAAAAAAATACACGAGTGAACACGCGAAGAGCTTGATGGAAAACACAGTCTATTTAAGCTGAGGAATTCTGCGACATCGGAGAGATAATGAAAGAAAAAGGGATTGTGTGCGCCATACAATATATTTAATGTCAACTCATCTGCTGGTGAAGAAATTAAATCAAGACTCTGCCAGAAGACAAAAAAAAACACATTTCTGTTTCTGACAAGTTATGGAAATTGTTCATTATAATTAGAGCGCAAAGAACCTTTGCAATCAATAATGAGGATTAACCAACCAGATCAGATATTCGTCAAAGTCACCCCTAAGTACTACTAAAGATGCAAAAATAGAGGCAGGGCATTGGTGTAAAATAGACAAAAAATGAACTAAAATCGGGAGAATATGGTGCAAAGCAGAGATGAATAACATTATAAGATATATGTTTTTGTTACTAGACAAAATCCATGGATACGCCAGCTCACACCGAGAACCATATATGAAGTAGATGCAATCGATGTTAGAATAAGACGTAACTTTATTTAAGAGAGTCTAAGAACAAAGAAAATGTGAGCACATAGCAGTGCAAAACCCAAGGAAGCATATCCCAACGCGTTTCACGCAACAAGGCACTTAATCTTACCATATCAATGGCATATGGTTCGTAGGAAGATGGCACTGATATTTGAATTGGAAGCGTTATCTTGCACCTATATGTGATGTATAAATATATTCAGTAAATGTGGAGTTGTGGAAGTTGACCGCTGACTTGCAAAATATCTCTCAGACAAGTCAAATTGCCTAGCTTCCAGCTATTTTAGACCAGAGTTTTCAAATGAGTTTCAATTCATCATAGCTTACTGATAAATTCCAAGTCTGTTGTAAGACTGATTGCCACTATGTGACGTACATTTGCTTTTTTCCAGATAAGTGGCCACAAATGGTTCCTGCCAAAAGAGTTAATAAAAAGATAAAGCAGATAACTGCTCTATGAATACATTTAGTTTTTCATTATCTTTCTTTCCTTTTTTGCTTACACCTTCCGTTACTTTTGGTACCATTCCAAAATTGTTTTATGCACAACCTCCGAGGTTGTCCATGAGTCGATTGTAAAGTACTAGTTTAAAGAGTTAGCAACCTGTTCGTTTTTCCCTAATATGGGAAAATTAAAATGTAACCTTCAAATATGACTTTGCTTAATTCATAACTTGAAATCATGTGTGAGATTTATGGTAAAAGAGAGATACTTTTTATTATGGAAATATTAAAAATATTCTTCCCAAAAAATAATGGAACTGTCACGTTAACTGTGATCCAGCTGTCAGGTCTACTTATTGTGCACCTCTTTTCGACTCCAAGAGCTATCACCAGTGCTCAGATCTTATTCTGCAAGTTATTTATGGTACTTTTTGGACATTGTATAGAGCAGTGTTCCTCAACTCAATCCTCATGGACCACCAACAGTCCAGGATTTGTCAATATCTCCACTGGAATAAAACAGGGAAATACATAAATCCTGGACTGTTGGTGGTCCATGAGGATGGCTTGGGGAACACTGGTAAAACAGCAATGTGCACCCAGATCTTTTGGAGATGACATACTGTCTTTGAGCATTAAACATGTATAAATGCCTTTTAGATGCTCCTTCGTAATATTATTCATTGATGTTATCTGTAGTGTAATCTCCCAGCTCATTATTAGAATCCTTGACAAGTTTTTCTACCCAGATAAAGTAGTTTCTTATTACTTAGCTTCCTATTTTCCATTAACCTGATACCCTGTGTAGATTTTGTCTGGCTTCCCTGGGATTATTTACATATCACTAGAGGGGCTGGAACTGTATTTTCTTTCCAAATATTTTTTATTGATTTTTTTATAATTACATAACACTATTGTCAACAATTAGTAGAACACAATATATCCATAAAGATTTAATATCAAATTAAATGTTAATATTATAGAAGGAAAGTATAAATTAATCAATATTGACAATAAAAAAACAACAAAAAAACCAAAAAGGAAAATAGAGGGGGAAAAGGTAGGGTATATAAAACAATTGACCTTAAAGGGATTTTCCAGTGCCAGGAAAACAAACCCGTTTTCCTGGCACTAGAGAATCCTGGAGTGTCCCCCTCCTTTCCGCCTCCCATCCCATGTCACTGAAGGGGTTAAAATCCCTTCAGCTACTTATCTGAATCCAGTGCCGATATCCCTTTGCGCTGGTTCAGGCTCCACCCACGCTCCTCCCCCGACATTAGCCGGCAGGGAAAGCTTAATGCTTATGCGCAGCATTCCTATGGGGAAAATCATTGCATTCTTATGGGGAAAATCTGATGCAGGAGGTCTGTGAGGACGTCTAGTGTCAGTTAACGGACCAAAAGTCCATTACGAATACGGAAGCGCCCCCGGTGGCTGTTTTACATTGCAGCACTAAGTGAAAATGGGACACAGCACCCAGACCAATTCAATGAGCTGAAGTTATCTGGGTGCCTACATTGTCCCTTTAATATTAGTAATTGAGATAATCATGTATAATATCTTATTCTAAAAAAAAAGCAGTATATAACAGAAATATGTTCATCAAGAAGAAAATAAATAATATATAAAAAAATAATTCTATCCATACGTATAAAAAAATGGGTGGTGCTGTTTTGAATAATTAAAGTTTCAAAACTCCTTTTTTTTTTTTACAAGTCAGTGTAATTTTCCCATAAAACCTTCATTGTACATTCTTTTTTTGAAATGGTGTGCACATAGGGAGTAAGCCACATTGGCATCAAGTGTAACATATTTTATTAGTTTTGTTAAGGAGGTTTTCACAAAATAAATTAAGAAGATTGGAAATTTTGGGGAGGACAGATTTGTATTGAATATCCAAACTGTGCTTTTTTTTCAGAAGCAAGATGTGATCTCAAAGTTTAATATTAGATCACATTAAATAGATACAAACATAGATCCAAGATACATGCATCCATGCAAATAATTGCTACTTTTATTTCCTGAATTGAAAATATAATTCCCTGCAATGTAACAGATCCTCTTTCACCCAAATAAGATATACTCTTTATGCTAACCTCAGTTTCGCAGTAATTGGAAATTAGTTTTTGCAAATCCGTGTTTGTATTCCTGTTCAGTTGTTAAACTATATTAATCATCCATTCAGAATTAGCCTGTCCCTTGATCCTGTAAACCACACGCATCTGAGCGCTATACTGACTTTGTCGTCTGTACTATGGGTGAGGCTTTGATTTATAGTAAACAGACTGACGCAACATATGGGGTTGTACTCAGCACATTCTGCAGCGTTTTACAAGTTTGGTGTTTCTGTACTCGCCAGAAGATACATTTACAGAATTTAGCTTCGTATTATCACAATTTAACATACAGAACACAGCAATAGGTTTACAATGCATATTTAAGAACTTATCACCCCTTTATATATTCCCAGCAAAGTGATTAAAAGTTATTCATAAGTGCCATCGAAAAGTACATATAAACAATGGCATTAAACACAAGTTATATTATTCTTTAACGGCTCATTATTGGATATATGTTTAAAATTCAAGTTATACCCAACAAACTTGCTGTCATACCACCTCCGGTTGGACTCTGCTGTCGTCGCTCAACTTTACATATTTTGGCCGACGCCAAACCTCCACGAACAGTACCTTTTCCTTCGGCTTACGCGAAATCTTGATCTACTGTGTTCCTGCACTTGGCCAATCTTCAATGCGTGCGCCGAATAGGAAGCCTGCACATTGATGTAGGAAGTCATTCCACCCTAAAACAACTTACTCCAGTTACTGTAATCACACCCCATAACACCTCAACCAATCACTACGTACGTGAGCCTTTTTAAATCCTTCTCTGAAATCACTTCTTTGCCCCGTTGTGACCTTAGTAGCTTAAGAATGCGTTATAGTATTCAGATTGGTTTGGCTCCATTATTCAACTACCTCCTCTGTGGAATCCCTGAATATCTTAACATATCTTCTCCTATCCTTGGCCTGTTCCTGGTTATTCTCTGACTATATTCTATACTCCTTACCTTAAGCCCAGCCACTCTAAGGTCCAGTAATACATGCTTTATCTAATTGAGTATTTGTTGCCTCTTGCTTGCATGTTGGGGTAGTACCTTGACGCCTGCAGAAAGAATTCTGATTAATTGTTGGAACTTTGAGTTTTTGTTTTGCTTAAATGGACATTGCAAGCACAACAACCACTGCAGCTTACTGTGCAATCACCCAATTTTCTGTAGTTGTTATGGTGTTTATAATACCCCTTTATCCCTCCATGACAAGGAGTTTTGCCAATCCCTTTATATAACAGTTCTTGCGTAAATCTACTGCCAGTAATTATTGTATTATGCTGATAAAGCTTCTCTATGTAATTATTGACCTAAATGACTGGATGCAGTTCATAATATCTTATATAAAAGCTCTGCATTCCAGAATAATTGTTCCTTTGTTTGGTTTAGTTTTTTGGAGTTTTAATTAGAACATGAATGCCATGTGCTTTATAAATGTAATCATGCGCCTACATGTTAACCCCTTCATTGCCAAGCAAGTTGAAAAAAATAATCCCTAAAAAAAAAAAAATTTGTGGGCTCTGGAAAGAAATGTGTACATGTTTTTTTTTTTTTTGTGCCAGTATTTATAAAGCACATTATATAATGGTAACAAAAGAACATAAATATCCTTCTGATTAACATTTATAGACAGGAAGTTATTTTGAAAAAATAATTTACAGAATGGTGAATTTTATATTTGAAAGCTTTTTATATGTAGCATTTTACTATTTTGCTGCACTCCTAATCTATGACACAAGACTTTATGTGACACATTTCTCCACAAATTCTATAACCCGGTCACATATGCAAAAGGAAATATGTGAGTTAATTACAGCTTTATCAAGAGCCACAATAGCCCCATATTACCACATTCCCCATAGCATCACATTTATTTCATATACAGTTGCAAGAAAAAGTATGTGAACCCTTTGGAATGATATGGATTTCTGCA